CCCCCCCCCCCTCCATGTCTGTATGGAAGAAAGTAAGCACAAGATGCCGAACACCCTTAGCGCGATGCAGGGCACCCTTCATGCGACTTGCGACTTGCGACTCGCCGAATACCTCACGGCGCTTCGCGCGTGGCGATGTGCGAGCCTGATCCGGTGAAAACCCGGTATGCTCCGTCCCGGCTATGTAGGGTTGCGAGGTCGATGGTCTAACGCTAACGACTACGGCATGCACGGCATGGACTACCTCCCGATGGCTCTGCGTTGGGACTTGAGGACGTAGTACCTTGCCAGTCCCGAAGTTCCCCCTGAGCGGTCGCCCCGCACCTAGTCCGTGCGGCAGTGCGTGGCAGTACCACATGACGGCCACTTCGACCGTTATCCTGAACCAGATGTTATCGAGCACGGACCAACGCGAAGACGACAGACGACAGACGCCAAAAGGGAGAAAGGAAGCGAGATGATGCATCGTCAAACTAGATGGGGTTGGCAACCGCTCATGAACACTAAAAGGATGACACTTCTTTTGCGCAAGCTTAACCTCCGTCGCAGAAGAAGAAAAGGAAACTATGAAAATGTCACCTGCAGAGCGTAAACATTTATGCTGGGGCGGAAAACTATCCTCAATCCTCCACGTCAGACCTCGAACCGGGCGTCACATACACATGAGCCTTTCACCAAGCACCAGCATGACGTTTCTTTGTAGACAGCTAGTGCTCAAGCCCTTGCCGCCCTCTCTCCCTTCCGGCAGCAACCAAGACCGAGACGCGGCCGGAGAAATACCCGCAAAACGCGTGATCAAGGGACACAAGCACACACACGTGTGGATCCAAAAGACCACACAAGCGTCGGGATTTTGTTAGAGCACTTCTACTTCTTCGCGACGGTTACAAGCCAACAGACCTGTTACCTGGCCACCTGCTTCCAGTCGTCTTCCGCCCCGGTCAGCCTCTTGGCGCAGGTGGCCCACACGGCCAAGCCTACGACCAAGCCGGCCACGACGCAGTGGCTCGAGGCGAGCGCTCCCGCAACGATGTGCACGGTCGCTTTCCCGACCGAGGTCGCCTCGCACCAGCCTCCCGGAGACACCAAAGACCTACACGCGTCGATTGACACCAAGCCATGGGCGCCAGAACGCCTGGCACGTTTGAGCCGAGCTTTGACCCGCCTGATCCGGTCAGGCCGCCTTGTGCGGGACGGCGGAGAGGCACCGGCGGCGACGTCCCGCCGCCGCCTAACGCACGCTCCAGGGCCGAACCTTCTAGAGGCGGTGGTAGGGGGAGTTCTGTCTGCGGTTGCGGCACGGTGGCGATCCGTGGGGGTTGCTGGTGGTGCGTCTGCGCTGATGCGTTGCCGGTGCCAGAAACTAAGTGGAGGCGCTGCCGACTCTTCGTCGCGAGTTGTTGATGGCGTCACCGACACATTCGGCGCCGTCTTGGTCTTCGTTCTCTCGCGGGAAGAACGAGGGACGATAGGCTTGGACACCCGCCCGTTGATATGGATGTCACCGTTAGGCCGTCGGTTTCGGTCTCTGGACCGCCGTTGTTCTGTGCCGGTGGAGCGGCTGTGCTGATGGCGATGTGCCCTTCTCGTCGGAAAGGCGGACTCCGAAAGCTGGAGGCGGTCGGTGGGCGGAGAACGAACGAAAAAAACAAATAAGAATGATACGGAATGCAGCGATTGTTACACTTCACGATGCGGCTTTACGGCGTTACGAGCCCAGCGTTTCCTGCCTGCTGGTAGGACAACTATCCTGCAGGAGATAAGAAGAACGTTAAAGTTGACAAAGTCGGCACTGTTGTTTTGGCGTGTTGTTCATGTTTCTGCGCTGTCGCACGTCGGTTCGTCTGGATTTTCCGCCGGCCCACATGCCTTATTCGAACTGCTCTACTGGCGCGCATGTCTCCCGTCTCCTCCCTTTCGACAACCTCCACCCATGATGTAGAGACAATGCGAGGGGGTAGTGTATGGGTATCTTTATTTTTAGTGTATGTCGTACTAGGGGAGACGATTGGCTCCCTGCGCTATGATGAGGCGGGCTGCCAGAATGGGTGGGATGGCTGCTGGGTTTCGAGCGGTAGAACAAGCAGAAACGCCGACGAAATTGTTCCGAAAAATAGTAGTAGAAGCGAAGCTGGGGCTCACGATGTGAGGGCCCCGTGCCACGTCCGGTGCATAGATCTGCACTTCTCGGCGTAACCCCTCATTCCGTGTGATGTTTTTGAAGTTCGTTCCTGACAAAACTAGTTCGAAAAACATTCTTGGAGAAACTTCTGGTGTCCGATCGTCATATCATACGTACGTTCTGTGCTGCAAGGCGGGCGGAACATAGGGTTCGTACAACAAGTTGTCAGCACAGAACTGGGAAAGCACTACGATATATGCACCTCAAAGAGATCAGGGAACGCCGCAGCGCTGCGCACAGCCCAAAAAATAGTCGGGGCCCCGCAAATTCGCGGGGTTCCGCAGATTCGCGCACCTGCAGAAAATGGCAAGAGATCTGCCGCCGCCTACCCCACCTAGCGCAGGCGACAGAGGGAGCAAGAGGCCACAAGGGAGGCAGACGTCTGACCAGGTGGGCTTTGAATCACACTGGGACTACTGGACAACTTTTGTTCTGACTTAGAGTTAGCGCCACGAGGAGATATTCGGAGATTGCCGTGAGCGTACCACCACGCGATGCCGCCGCACACAACCCACCGGGGTCCTTGTGCTCACCTCCCAGGAAGCGCTGCGACCGTGTTGCAGAATACAGCTGGTCATTCAGTGTGGCAAACTCAGTTGGCTATCTAGCACAGAAAGTTTCAGGCAATTCCATCCTGAGGAAACTTAGCTTGGCCGTGTTGAACATTGAAAATCTTGGCGGCGGCGGGGGAACATGCGCAAGCTCTGCACGCTTACAGCAACGCGTTACGTCGCCGAGAAACCTTGATGGTCGACGACGTGGCTAATTTCGATAAGGCGAGAGTTAGGACGTCGGGCCTCAGGAAGTTTACAACTTATTCGCCTTGACAGTGCTGAATCAGACCTACATAAAGCACATTTTGTGGTGACAAGCGGTGGCGATCCAGCGGGACGCAGCTCGCACTGAACCGATGCTGCAACAGCACGACACATGCTCTCCGAAAACCCTCCACTCATGATCACTGCTTTAGATGAAGGGTTAGCGGTTTGAATCCTACAAAAGATTTAGCACGTGCGAAAAGGCTGTCAAGGGAGGTCGTCATGACGTTGTCAAGCGTGGAGATAATTACTCCGTATAAGGGAGCTGCAACAGAAAATCTACCCCGCTTGTGCCGCGTTCAATCCCGTAGGCGGGCTTAGACCTAACTTGCGCTCGTGGTCGTTGCTGTTGCCTGGGTTCGTCCTTTTCCATTGATTCGGGCTTGGGGCGCGAAGTCTCCATCTGTTGTGAACGGGATCAGCCCACTGCATGCGGACTGGACTATTGTTTGAAGCGGCGCGGCGCCACAGTCGTGGGCGGGTGGCGCCGCCCTCGCACCCTGACCGCACCCCGCTCTCCCCGCGCGCAACCGCCAACGACAACGGCGCGATGACACGAGCGACTTCCCCGAGCTGCAGTGGCGGGGACACGGGTTCCCCTAGTCGTCAACAGGTTCGCAGCGCGAAGGAGTGCGCGAGATTGACTGCGACTACGCCCAGGAAAAAAACGGGGAAGCGCGCCCCCGTAAATTCAGGAGCACGTGTGAGGGGTTCGGGAGGAGGGTCGGGAAGGAAGCGCGTGCGGTCACGGGCCCGAATTTCGGTGGGCACTAAACAGTCGCAGAGCAGGCTACAAACGCAGGTGGAGGAAAGGTTGGCGACGGCAGACTTGGACAAGGAGCATGGGGAGCAGCTGGCTAAGGCGGAGGAAGAGTCCCGACGGCGTAGGAAACGCCTTCCCGATGAGGCGTGCGCGGAAGCTCGACAAAATGCGCCTGGGCCTGCATCTGGTCTTCGACGCCAGAGTTTAGGTGGGAAGAGCAGACAAGTCGGGAGTACGGAGACGCAAGGCCGCGCTATGCCCTGCCGTAAACCGGTGTGTGGCTGGGTGACGACTACCCCGGGTCACCAGTGCAATAAATGTCCTGAAGGGGTCACGCACTGGGCGGAAGATAGGTTATGTACCGCGTGCCATCGACCGCCCAGCGAGAGAGGGTTCGTCCATCTGCATGTCAAACGCATTGACTCGGCCCGCTCCCTATTGGCCGACCTGCCGTCTGGCGAGGCGGGGGTTGTGGCGATGCTGCGTCAGTTTAACCCCCAACCTGGCGGGTGTCTCTGCCAGCGAGACGGCTGTCTCATGGCCCGCCTGGGTCGCCACGAAAAGAACAAGGCCACGCACACATGCCAAGGACCTGGAGACAACATGCCATGTTCGGTGTCAGGAGTGAAGAAGAAGCAGGGGAGGTGGTATTCCGTGTCTGGCGATGAAGAAGGTGGGAGGGTTAGGGTGTCAGCGGGAGGCGGCGGTATGGTGTGCCAGGCCTGTAACCAACGGCGTGCCCGTGAACGGAAGAAGTCCTTATCGGTACGACAGCCAGGGGATGGCGGGTCCGGAGTTGCTGGAGCTTCCTCGTCGTCCCAAGCGCCAGCCATTGGGAGGGCGGACGTCGTGGGGTCCAGCACCCAGAGGACAAGGACAGGCAAGGGAGCATCCACCGACGAGGGCTCTGGCATTGCGACTGGCCGAGCGCTTGGGCGACATGTCAAAGCGGCGTCGATTGTGCGCTCGCGGGTGGAAGGGTCCGTAAAAGGCGGGGAGATCCTTTTCTGGAAGGACGTTGCGAAGTGGTTGACGGCCGAGCGAGCTAAGCTCGGCGAGGAAAGGCTGCAGGGCGGCTCCGTACGGGAGAAGGTGAAACAAATGTTCGATAGCATCGGCCGTTCGTCGGACTGCAACGCGAGGGTGGTGGATATCCGAGGGAGCAGGGGTGCGGGAGGAGACGGACGCGAGAAAGCTCTCTGTCTGTTCCCGAAAGATCTATCCGACGAAGCTGTCGTTGGGTACCTCCTACGGATGCGTAAAGCGGAGGGAGCGACCCTGAAGTCTGAGCTGGAAAGGGTTGCTCAAGACCCTGCGGACCCCCACGACCCTGTCTTCGAGGAGGAGAGGATGGCGGTGGTCAAGACTGCGGGGGAGATTGTCCGGCGTGATATTGAACTGGAAAAGAGCCTGCACAACGCGCGTCCCCCAGGTCAGTCAAACATCAACGTGGAAGAGTTGGAGCGGCCTGTGGAACGGACGGCGGATACCCTACTTGCAATGCCCCCCACGACACTAGGATTCTTCCAGAGCGTCACCGACGTGGACCTCAATGTCGAGCAGAACCCTGCGGATCCGCCCAAGGATGCAGGGCCTTGCAAGGTGTGGGAGCGCGGGTGGCGAGAGGAGTTTGAAAAGGGTATCGGCGTTATGGACAGGCCAAGTCCAGCCACAGCCGGGTCGATGGGTGAAACGACGGTGGGCTCTGCTGGTGGAGCCGGGAGTGGTGACGTCGGCGCAATATCGGGGGGGGTGCCGGTCCTCCCGGCGTCTGAGACACGTGCGAGGGCTGTCGATAAATTCAACCGGTGTTGCCGGTCCATTCGTCGACGGTTGACGGTGATGTGCACAAGCGTCGTTAAGTCCGTGCTGGGCAGCCGGTACATGCCCTCACACGCCATAAAGGCGACCCAGTGGGCGAAGTCGAAGAATACTCCCCGACCCGTGCTCAACTTTATCGCAGAGCACTTGGGATGTGCCACCGATTCTCAGGTGTACCATCGAGAGTCCAAGTTCGCCCGGGTGGTTGAAGACTCCAACCTTCTTGCCAAGTGCGCGAAGTGTGCTGCATTTTCTCAGGACAACGTTGACTTCGAGCCCCGTGTCGGAGTGAGGCAGGGGGAAGGTCCGTACATCCCGTGCGTGGCGTGTGTGGCGAACTGGGTTGGGGAGGAGGTGGGCACGCTCCACGATGCGGGCACGTTGAAACGACTCAGCGAGTTGAGTGTGGACGACATTCTCGTTGGATCAGACGCGGCGGAGGGAGAGCGGAGGTATGGGGCTTTCTTAGCTACGCTATTCGGAGCCGTGTCCAAGTCTGAGCGAATCAGGTCGGCGGAGGGAGGGCCGTTGTGGTGTTTCGAGGCCCAACTCAGGGAGGTGAGTTGCGAAGCATTTTTTTTTTTTTTTTTTTTTTGGTTAGCCGGTGCCGAAATTTGCTCTATTTTGCGGGGTACCAATTCCGGAAAAACTGAAATAGGCGTTGGCTTTTCTTCTTTTTTGCCCCCCCCCCGTATTTTTTGCCCTTCTTTTTTGCCTTTTTTTTTTTTCTTTCTCTCTCCGTGCCTTTGTGCTAATTGTTTGGCACGACAAGCCTTGCCCCCCCCCCCTTTCTTCTCTCTCTGTTGTGTATAATAGGCGTTGGCCTTTGTTTTTTTTGTTCTTTCTTTTTTGCCTTTTTTTTTTTCCCTCTCCCCTTGTCTTTGTGCTAAATCTTTGGCACGGCAAGCCTTGCCCCCCCCCTTTTCTTCTCTCTATGTTGTGTATAAGAAGAGGCGTGGGCCTTTGTTTTTTTTGTCCTTTCTTTTTTGCCTTTTTCTTTTTTCCCTCTCCCCATGTCTATGTGCTAATTCTTTGGCCCGGCAAGCCTTGCCCCCCCCCCTTTCTTCTCTCTGTGTTGTGTATAAGAGGCGTTGGCCTTTGTTTTTTTTGTCCTTTCTTTTTTGCCTTTTTCTTTTTTCCCTCTCCCCATGTCTATGTGCTAATTCTTTGGCCCGGCAAGCCTTGCCCCCCCCCCTTTCTTCTCTCTGTGTTGTGTATAAGAGGCGTTGGCCTTTGTTTTTTTTGTCCTTTCTTTTTTGCCTTTTTCTTTTTTCCCTCTCCCCATGTCTATGTGCTAATTCTTTGGCCCGGCAAGCCTTGCCCCCCCCCTTTTCTTCTCTCTGTGTTGTGTATAAGAGTCGTTGGCCTTTGTTTTTTTTGTCCTTTCTTTTTTGCCTTTTTTTTTTTTCCCTCTCCCCATGTCTTTGTGCTAATTCTTTGGCACGGCAGGCTTGCCCCCCTTCCTCTCTTTGTTGTGTTCAATAGGCGGCGTAGTAGTTGGCCTTTTTTCTTTCTTTTTTTTTATCTTCTTGCGCCTTTTCCACCCATCCTTTTAATTCGCCTTCTGCGGCAAAAGCGTCCAAACACACAAAGAAAGTCTGACCGAAAGACGTGTGATGGAAAATGTGCTATTCCTTTGGCACGGCAAGCCTTGCCCCCCAAATTTCCTCTCTCTGTTGGGTCTATTCTTTTTTTCTTCTCTTTTTGCTAGCAACCCATTGTGCCATTCTGCATCAGCACAACAAACAACGCCAACGTCTGATGACTACTGTATGTGTTGCAAGACAAGCAGCTTACAGGCACGCTCCGCCCTTCTCATGTCTTAAGCAACAAAAAAGAGAGAAGTAAGTTGTGTTTACTTCGGCGTTGAAATGTCTTTGTCCTCTCTGTTCATTGTTGTGGTGTTTGTGATTTTGTTGCACGCTCAGAGGTAACTCCAACATGAAGTACTATTAGTGTTGTAACGCATGAACAAGAGTCGCTGATTCAGTGCGTATGTGTTTGGTTATGCATTCTGACGTTTGTTTTGCATGCCCCCCGCTTCGTGATGATCGTACCGTGCCCGTAGGACGTTACGCCGGATGCGAGGTCAAACTCTACAGGAAAGTACGCCTTCGTCCAGCGCGCCAGCACCAAGAGCTACACCGACATGAAGAGGATAATTGACCGGATCCTTGACATATGGCGCGGAACCCAGGCCGGGAACGATGGTGCACCGTGCATCATCGCGGGGGACGAGGAGACATACCGATTCATATACCACCTGATGAAGCAAGACCCCGACAACTACCGTCAAATCCGGCGATATCCGGGGGACTGGCATCTTCTGCTGCACATGGCGAAGGCTCTCCTCAGGCGGTACTGGGGGGCTGGGATCGAGTTTATGGCGTGCGAGTTAGGAACGGACAACAGCAAATCGGGCGACGGCAGCAATTATCGCCGAGCACACCACCAGCTGTGCGTGATGTTTGAAGCGCTATGGATTTTGATCCTCGAGGTGTGGCGGGAGGAGCGTCAGCAGCGGGAGAGTGCGCCGGCAGAGTGCGATGACGTGTCGGCGGAGGAGGAGGGCGTCGCTGCAGAGGACGCGATCGACATGGATGCTGTCCTGGCTTGGGTCAAGAGGCGGGCAGATGACGACAAAACGTTCGCCATTTGGGCGCAGTTCCTTCTGCATGACTTCCCGATATTTGTGCTCTTCTCTTACCCTTCGTATTCCGCCCCAGGCTAATCCATACACTTGAACGTTCCGCTGCGAGAGGCGGAATGGGATGCTGGCTGATAAGTCAAGGGAACGGTCGGGGGGGGGAGTGTGGTGCTGGGACGACAGCAGGGACTGGCCGTTGGGGAGGAGGAGAAGTTGTTGTGAACATGTACTGTTGAACTTGATTTATAGTCTTGTATTTTTTTCTTTGTTGTGGTTGGCACTTTCCCATAACTTTGACTGGACATGTCTCTTCTTGTGATTTACGATTTGTTATGTGTTCTTCGAACCATTTGGGACTTACTTGCGTGCCGTCCCTAGAATATACTCATTAGCATCATCATTAAAATTTTAAGATTTATTCATCTTAGCGACATTTTGGCAGTCTTGCAAGTAGTGTCTTTTAGAGTTTCGTCGTGTCTTGTGCCTTAGCGTGTTGTTCGAGTAATTGAGAAAGTATTGTTGGCCCGAAGGAGTAAAACTGGCACGCGAGGTACCTTAGCTGGTTGACGTGGTGCTGTATGTAGTAGTTTACTCCGTGTGTAAATGTATCTAATTTTAATGTGCGCTGCTGATTGACTAAACTGGTGCAGACTGCCCAAGTATACGCATATCAATCGCGCCCGCGGGTGCAGTTCAACCTTCGCAGGGCCTAGGTTCCGATTGCGCCGACTCCCAGCTACCGCTGCGACACTGGCTTCGCTGGGTGAAGCGCTTTTTTCTTTTTTTTGTTTCTTCATGTGCTGGAGGGGAGAGAGAGCCGGTGTGCGTCGGCGAAACCCAAAGTTCAAAACTGGGTTCGCGCCGATTAGGCGTTCTCGGCGTATACGGCGTGTTGCAGCAAAATTCAAAGTACTGGGCAAAGCCCACAGCATCTTCTTTCACACACGGGTGCGCCCTTCCGCAACCATCCTGAGGAAACTTAGCATGATGCTTGCGCGCGAGCGTCATTTTTACACGAAACACGCCGCCCCCGACTGCGTTTGGTGGAATTCCAACACACCACTTGACGTACGGTCTGATACGGGCATTTCCAGTTTGTGTGCCAAGTTTCATGTGGATCTGTGCGGTCTGCGCTGCGTTCTCGTCGTCGGACGAAACACGCCCTCGGCCAGGGGTAGGTTGGGCCGCATCCAAAAGTGCCAGGTATTTGCCTCCGAACTTCGAATTCTTCTTTTGTCACGTTCGCGGGCCACAGGCCATGAAACTCGACCAAACAAGGGTCAGAAGACAGTAAATAACTAGCTCTACGGTGTCAGGGTCTTAGTTTGGTGTGGTGTGTCGTTGCCGGAACGCACAGCAGCCCCAAAGGTGTTTCGACAAACGCCTCCATATATCCTGTGCGCAGCACTGGCCGCTGTCAATGTCAGCGGTGGCACAAGTCCTCTTTCGGTGCGGATGGCCTTTATGGCCGTCTTGGTTCCGTCGGTGTGCAAGTGTTGGCTGTGAGACAGACGGGTGTGCCAACTTCGGAAGAGCCCACGACGTCTGCAGTGCCACTCCGATAATACGCTCAATCGCTCATGCTGCGCATCACGAACAGACGCCCACGCCCTTAGACATGGAGAAGAACCAAACACATAAACAGAAAAGTATGTGGAAACTACGTAGGGCAATCACACCTGCAACGCGTCGTCTATTCTTGCGTGTGTGTGTCTGATGGATTTAGATAGGAAAATGCAGTCAGGACGGTCTATAATGCGACAAAGGTGTACTCGCTGTACATGTTTCAAGAACTGCTGAACACTGCTGTAGCGGGCAGTGATGCTCCCCAACAGGACATGCTCCGCGCTGATTCGTTTTTCACGAATAACTCTCTCCGACAACACATGCGACGCGAATGTTTAGGGTGGAGTGGATATCTTGCCGTGTCAACCGCAGCAGTCGCTTTGCCCGCAGCGTAACACAGCAGCAGCGGTTCACGCCAAAGGCGTACTACATCATTCAAATAACACTGCACGATACAGTGTCCTCCGCTAGGACACGTTCCGCTCTGATTCGTCACACCCGAACAGCCCTGTTAGCACACGCGGCTGTATATGATCGGATGGATTGTTATTCGAGCGAAGCGAGATTTCTAATCTTGCCTGAGAGGGCTCAGCGCAATATAGGGGCCGATGCAGGAAAAAAAGTGCGTGCGTGTGTTGTGTTCGCTTAAACTAGGTTTTAGAGTACAGGACTTGATTTGTGACTACAGGGCGCACTTTTTTTTTTTACACAGCAGAGCAGCAAACAGCAACAGCAGACAACACGCGCTCAGCGAGCAGACTGAACACACACGCACAGCAGACAACACGCGCTCAGCGGGCACAGCGACACACCAACAGCGCAGAGCGGACACAGCCACAGCGGCCTGCATGGCATGGCAATTGCATGATGAGTAGACGTCCGTTGGGGCCGATTGACCCGAACTCCCTCCGTGAGGCAGAGACGCACACAGACTCGCGGCGCAGACAAAGCCACGGGGAGAGGGAGCCCCTAGGCAGCCCACAGCTTGACCGGGCGAGAGCTGCTGCTCG